TCTAGGGGTGGGAGGGATTGTCTTGAAGGAACTTGATTGCTTGCCTTGATGGCTCCCATCCAGTCTTTTGATAGAGCTCTGAAACTCTGTGCTTTAACTATTTCATAATGTAGCCATGCAATATAGTGAATTAATAGGTCTCCTTTAGCCTTAGTGTTTGTGACTCCCACCAAATGACTCTTTTCCTGATGGGTCTGGGTAAGAGAAGGTAGGAGAAAATACTGATAGGGTGATATGCTTTAATTATGTACAATTGTTAACAGAGTTCATTATGATTGCAAAAATGTGGCACTCTAACATGCACATTCTCATATGCATGTGAAAGTTGGACAATGAATAAGGAATATCATAGAAAAATTGATGCATTTGAGTTATGGTATTAGAGAAGAATATTAAAGCTACCATGGACTGTCAAAAGAGCAAACAAATCTGTGTTGGAAAAAGTACTACCAGAAATGCTCCTTAGAAGCTAACATGGCCAGACTTATCTTTCATTCTTTGGACATGTTATCAGGAGGGACCAGTACCTGGAGAAGGATGTCATGTTTGGTTAAGTGGAGGGACAGTGAAAAAGTGAGAGACCCCCAATTAGATGGATTGGCACAGTGGTAACAACAATGGGTTCAAGCATAGCATCAATTGTGAGGAAAGTGGTGGACTGGGCAGTGTTTCATTCTGTTGTACACAGGGTCACGATGGGTTGCAACCAACTTGACAGTACCTAACAACAACAACAAAACATGGGTATAAAGTGATCTATCTCAGGAGTCGCAGGGATGTCTTACTATCATCAAGAAGTCAGAGCCATGAGTGGAGCACTTCCATTGGTTCCCGAGATCCCTTCACATTGAACAGCCTCAACCCAGAGCCGGAAAGCAGTGACACCGGAGTAGTAGCAGAGGAGTGGCAGAGAAGCAGTAACAGCAGAACCAAGAGCCAGAGCAAGTTAAGCTAAGTGACTTTGGGCAGAAGGCTTACTTGCCGAATATGGTGCCTCCAAGCATTTAATCACGGGAGCTTGGTTTACTGACCCATGGGGTTAGAGCCCAGAGTCTTCAGGTTGAGGCTTATGGTGGTGGACTGGTGTGTCCTGTAGTCATTTAACATTGCCGGAGCAGGGCAGAGGCCAGGCAAAGGGGCCAAGGGTGAGAGAAGAGCCTGTCTATGGCTGACTAGTGGCTGTCCTGACTAGAAGAACTGTTCCTTGAATATTTCTGACTCTGAATTGTAACCTGTTAACTTCCCTAGTAAATCCCATAACTGTGAGTATGCGACCTGAATTGTGTGTTGTCATTGCAATGAATTATCAAACTCTGCTAAGTAGACAATGCTATGGGAAGGGATAGTTTGGGGCCACATTTTCTTGCATGCATTTAAAATGAAACAGATATATAATATAACGTTTTTTCTTAAATTTTAAAGATGTTGTTGTTAGGTGCAATCAAGTCGGCACCGACTCATAACGACCTTATGCACAGCAGAACGAAACAATGTCCGGTCCTGGGCCAACCTCACTAATGTTGCCACACTTGAGTCCCTCGGTGCTGCCACTTGGCCAATCCATCTCGTTGGGAGTCTTCCTCTTTTTCTCTGACTTTCCATCTTAACAAACATAATGTCCTTCTCCAGTGACTGTTCTCTCCTGACAATATGTCCAAAGTATGAGACATTAAGTTTGGCCATTTTGACCTCTAAGGAGCACTCTGGCTGCACTTCTTCCAAAACAGATCTATTGGTTCTTTTGGCAGTCCATGGCACTTTTAGTAATCTCCTCCAACACCATAATTCAAAGGCATTAATTCTTCTACTGTCTTCCTTATTCACTGTCCAGCTTTTGCATCCATATGAGGTTATTGAAAATACCATGGCTTGGGTCAGGCGCACCTTAGTCTTCAAGCTAACATCTTTGCTCTTCAACACTTTAAAAAGTTCCTGTGCAGCAGATTTGCCCAATGCAATACATCGTCTGATCTCTTGACTGCTGCTTCCGTGAGTGTTGATAGTTGATCCAAGAAGAATGAAGTCCTTGACAACTTCAATCTTTTCTCTGTTGATAAGAATGTTGTTTATTGTAAAGATACTTATTATAAATCTATACTCATCATTATAAAAAAAATCAACTAGTAATTGTACTCTCTTTATATTTTGTTTAACTTATTATTACTTCTTGTCTTTTGAAGAACTTCTTTCAAAGTTTTGTTGAAATCATATGAGTATTTTTTCTAATTGCTACTATTTTTGTATTAAACCAGTTTTGTTTTTCTTGTTTAATTATTGCATCAATAATTTAATAACCACACTCCAAAAAATGTTTGGAGTAATTTAAATTTTTACTTCTGTTTGTTTTACTCAGAGTCATCTTTCCTAGATTTATATTGCTGGAGAACAACCCCAAGTAATTTTTTTTCAGAGATTAATAATGGTAAAAGGAGTTCTGGTAGCATAGTGGTTATAAATTGGGCTGCTAACCTCAGGGTCATCAGTTCAAAACTACCAGCTGTTCCACGGGAGAAAGATGAGGCTTTCTGCTCCTGTAAAGGTTTACAGCCTTGGAAACCCTGTACAGGGTCACTATGAGTCGGAACCGACTCCACGGCACATAACAACAACAGTAATGGTAAACTCAGGTTCTTTTCCTATCAAAATGAAATCTTGATCTAATTGTTGCCTCGTAAATCAGCTGTTCATAGGACACAAAGTTCTGTTTTGTTTTCCCTCAGAATTTTGTAGACATCATTATACTGATTCTTTAAAATCCATGTCACAAATGAGAAGCTGATTTGAATCTAGTTCTCTTATAGGATATATAATGTCTTTTCTCTAAACCACTTTATGATTTTCTCTCTATTCATAGAGTTAGAAACTTTTCAAGACCATTATCTAAGTCTGGATCTGTTTTTAACATTTCACTAATAGACTTGGTGGGCCATTTAATTATGATGACTTAGCTTTGTTTTCAGTGTAGGAACATTCTTTCTTTCTTTTTTTTCCCTCCTTCATCTGTTCTGTGATCTCCATCTGGAACTTAAGTTTGACAGATAGTGAACCTTTTCTATCTATATTGCTTGTCTCTTAGCTTTTCTCTCAGATTTCAGCTTCATTGTTTTTTTAATACTGCTTTGTAAGAGAATACCAATCTTAATCATCCCCCAAATTAATTCATCCTTTTAGCATTTCCATGTTATTTAACTGTTGGAATTCTGGTGTGGTACTGTTGAATAAGCACTGGACCACAAGGTCAGTTTGGACTGCAAAGTTGGTGGTTCAAACTCACCAACCACACCTCGAAAACCCTATACATTATTACTGTGAGGCAGGCCTCAACAGCACGAACAACAACAACAACATTGTCATTCCCTACTGATAAATAGATGATGTGTATGTAGATATGTAGGAATTTAGATCGAATATATCATCTATATATTTTTTAAGTTTCCACACTATTTATTTTTATTACAGTCTCTTATTAATGTATGCAGTCCTGGTGTGGTGCTGTGGGTTAATGCACCAGACTGCAAAGCCATTTGAACTGCAAATTCGTTGGTTCAAGCTCACCATTTGCTCCTCGGAAACGCTACACAGGGTCTCTATGGGTCAGAACCGACTCAACGGCACTTAAAACAACATTAATGTATGTGCTATATTCTCATACTGAAAGTCTTCTGTTTCTGGTGCCTTTATTTTAAGCAGCTTCAAATGTTTTTGAATTCTAATGGTGGGTAATTCTGTATTTTTATTTATTAAAAACGTTTCAGAATAACCACTTTGGGTAACTAGATTTGTTTTGTCAACCCAAGCAGACTTTTTTGCAGAATCTTTTATCCCTACTCCTGCTGTCTTGTTTCTTAGATTCTGTTGAGGAAACTCTTTCAGAATTGAATTGAGTTTTATAAAATATGTTATGAGATATATTATTAGAGATATACATCTCTAGCATATGTCTCTAAATAAAATAT